TCCATCCTGCAGGAGAGGAAGGAGAAGAAGGAGGCCAAGAAGAAGGCCTTGAAAGAGGAACAGGCGGCCAAACCAAAGAAGATGGAAGAAGAGATGACCAGGGAGAAAGAGAAGTTGAAAAAGGAAGAAGAAGAGAAGCTGAAGGAGATGGATGAAGAAGAGGAAGGACCGCCACTGCAAAAGAGTGGGCAGCACAGCGGCAGCAGCACTGATGAGATGGAGAAGAAAATTTCGGAGTGGGTCGCCAACTTATCCCTGGGTGAGGAGGAAGAGGTTGCTATGTACATCCCCAAGGATGAGCAAGAAGCCGCCATGAAGAAATGGGAAGCAGAAGAAGATGTTGTGACGCGGCGGGCGATGGAGGATGAACAGAGGATGGCGTGGAAGCTCGGAGTGATGAGGGAGAAGAAGAGAAGAGTGGAGGCGGCGAATGCAGCAATGCAAGAACTAGCGGAGGTGAGGACTGCCGTAACAACACAATTGAATCCGCAAGTGGATCTTCAACGTAAAGTGGAGATCATCGCCCAGAGCGTTGAGCGGTTAGCTAAAGTGCAAGAAAGGCACTTTGAGTTTAGTCGCAACCAGGAGATATCTGTACGCTCGATGCGAACGGGCTTACAGGACTTTGCTCGCGAGTTAGTAGGCGCTGTGGGGTCCGAGGTGACTCACCGCCTCGAGAAGACTGAGCGTTTTTGTGTCGGCGCCATTGAGGGCGTCAAGGTGACCGCTCCCAAGGAGGAGGAGGCTCGTCCTCGCAGGGAGCCGGTCATAGTCAAATTCCCTGATTCCTATAGTGGGAAAAGGGAAGAGAACTTTGACAATTGGGAGGCCAATGTTAAGACTTATGTGCATCTGCAACAGGTATCCCCGGATCAGCAGGTCCTAATTGCGATCCTCGCGCTTAGAGATGAGGCCGCCAGCTTTGCAAGGTCCCAAGTTCGCGCTGCCAACTGTAATGACGACCCGGTAGCGTACTCCTCGTTCACGTCCCTCACCGAATTCTTGAAGTTGTTACGCGAGCAATTCGCTGATGTTGCCCGTAGTGTCAAAGCCTCAGATAGGCTTCAGACAATACACTCGCGCCAATGGAAGAGTGCAAGGGCACTCAAGGGCACAATGGATGAGTTAGTGGTTGTTCCTGACCACAAGGTCACAGAGACCCAGTTGGTCAACCTCTTCTACCAGCCCATGCCCGAAGCGCTGCGTGGTCACTTCTTTGACAACAGTCAGGACCCTGCTATGACTTATGATGTACTTAGCGGGGAAGTGGTCGCGTTCGAGGCGAAGTCTGCGTCTATTTCCACTTTCTGGCACAAAGATTTAGACAAAGGCAAAAAGTGGAAGGGCCGCACTATCTCAGGGCAGGTCAAGACTAAGGATAGCCTTGTGCTCACTTTAGATGAAGGTAGTGTGGATGAAATCCCCTACGATCAGATTGAGTGGGGGTTAGAGGAGGAGGACAGCGGTGCGGGCCAGGGGAGATCCTACGCTGCTGTC